GACTAAAGAACTGGACAATTTTCATCCTGTGCAAGAACGGAGTGCCCAGAATACAATCATGGTCTAAGTCTGGCACCACGAATCCCAATAGTTTGACTGACAGTATTCTAACCTTGATAGACAAGTTGTTAATGACCCCTGTCACGAAGAGCTCTCCCGCAATATTACTTAGTATTCGCTTTGAGGACCTATCAATGGTCAGGTCGCAGGCTTCCATAGTTCTCTGAGAGATGAGTATCATTTCTACTAGAATCCATTAAGGCTCGGATTTTCACCTGATTAATATAGATAGTTAAATACCCACAGCCCATGGTCGCGAATCTCATCTTACATCCGGGTAAGGTCCTGTGGACTTGATTGGGGAAGACTAATCCTAGATAATTAACTTTCATCATTTTCTTCTCAATTAGTTTCTTGAGTTCCTCTCTTAACTTTGGTGCTAACGTCATTGCCTCCTTAAAAGACAAGGTCACTTCTGTTTCTTCCAACATCTTTGTAATTACATTCGTAATTACACTTTCATCCTCTAACTCACTCTTGAGAATAAATTTTTTATTTTTTCCTTGCTCACTCGTTTTAGATAAAGGTTCTGGTTCTTGATCATCAAGAATTTCATTTGGAGTCTCTTCGGTTTTTCTTCTCTTCTTTTTCTCTATCATTTGAGGTGTGAAACGTGCTGGAAAATTTCTCACTTCTTCAATCACCACACTGGGTTACATGATGAGTTTCGATGGTAAATCACCCTCAAAAGACATTATGTTGGCCGAACAAGAGGGCTCGCTAGAAGAAAATGTCACTAATTCAGAAGAAATCCGAAAAATGGAACTCTCCTTTAACGATAACCTCCTTGAAAAACCTCATCAGACATATCTTCTACTAAAGTTAGAGACTGTAAAAGCAATTCAATCAATGAAAGAGGGTCATCGATTTTTTGCGCAAATTCTTCAGGCAATTCACCAATGAGGAAGTGAACACTCACGTTGATCTTTCTCTTCTTCTTTTTCTTTATCTTTTCTTCATGTTTAAGGGTAAGAAGTCTCATACCTCCAGGATATCTGGGATCTAATTTGTTCCATGAACTGTTACAGACATGACCCACTGCATCCTTCTTAGCCACCCCACTTTTCACATCCTCTTCCAAAGGTTTACGGTAGGTAGTAGTACGAACTCCTCCACCACAGTAATAACAGACAAAGTTCTTCCTTGGATGCTCGTCATACTTCCTTCTCTCTCTGTTCCCTTTTTCACCATTTCCTCCATTCTTTCTGGATCTAGAGGAATCCCCTCTCTTACCATAACCACCGTCATCATCATCATCTTCTTTATCTTCTCTTTCTGCCTTTTTCTTTCCTTTTTCATCCACAACATGATTAACAGATATATAATTGGCCATAACCCGTTGAATAATATTCTCAACATTCAAATTGTTCCCTCTATTCATACAATTTTCAGTCTCCCAGTCTTTAGCCAGTGTACTGATCTGATCCAGTGACCACTTCTTGTGTGAGACCGTAGGCAGAGTTCTGACTATTGCAACCATTTCATCCAATCTGAGAGGATAGTGTTGAGCTTGATTGAGAACAGTCTGTCTCTCATTATCTGTAAAATTAGTCAAAAAAATATGGCATCTCTGAGCCTTATCCACGTATGGGATTCTCTTCGCTGTTCGGATGAAAGTTTGAAAGGAGACATTGAAGGTGTCATACTTAGCTCTTCTGATGTTGAGAAGATCCTTGGTAGTGGTTGGAACAGAGTCTTTATCAAATTCTCTTTTCATTCTCTCTTTGACTTCTTCCCATGTTGTAGCCCCTTCCATCAACTTTTGAACTGCCAACCTCGAGTCAGTATCACAATAAGATAGAAGGTACTTGAGTTGCTGTTTGTCTGTCCAACCATAGTTGAGCCCAAATAATTCATATTCATCAAAGAAAACATTTACTTGAGGTCCTCTAAAGCATGGAATCCTCTCATCCGGCCTCTTCGGTCTTGCAATATTTGACCTTCCTTTTATTGTATCAACTCTTTCAACTAGCTCTAGTATAACACCGATCATGGTCTCTTCATGAGTCCCTGTAGAAGAGCTAGGTCTCCCTCGTCCAGCCATTTCGACCATAAACTTCCTCCGATACTTTTTTTTCCCTCTTTCTGTCACTTTTGTCCTCTCCTTTCTTATTTTTCAATCTCTTACTCTTCTCGCAAGGGATACAGGTTCATCTCTCCCTTCACTTGTTTGCTCTACCCCTTGAGAATTTTGTACGTAGAGAGTGTAGGCAATAATAGACTGAGTGGTGATCAAAGGCAACGCAATCCTTCTCAACCTTCCAATATAAACGTCAATCAACTCCCTCTCAGCATCCCTACTCAGTCCTTTATTGTACCCTTTCACAGTATCCCGGATCATAAAGTATCATGTCAGGTCTATAATCTTATAGTCAAATTGCATGACTTGAACCGTTGTGAATTCTCCTGGCAAGAGAGACTCGCTCTCTAAAAGAGTGATATGATACTCTCTCAGTGATTCTCACTTTCACTGCCTTTAGTAAAACTGATCTCAATCTGGTCAATGACGACTCTCAAGGCAGAGTCTCTCATCCGATCAAAGAAAGGTTGCAAGAACTCAAACTCATCCAAAGTAGAGAGGCTTCTGTTTGAAATCCGAAGAGTCCCCTCTGTCTTGACAACTCTACCTTCCAGTACAACCTCGAATGTTAGCTGCTCAACCGTACAATGCATTATTGACCATTATGGACAGTGTCAGGAGAGGTAGATCTCTGGATGACCATAGTCAGGGATCTCAAACTGGTGCTCAAAGTTATCCAAAAGTAAGGATTTTATCACCATTGTGGAATCACTCTCGCTTGCGTTACCTACCATGAAAATAGCTTCCAGGAGAGGCAACCAGTCTCTCCTGTCGTCAAAGCCATCAGTAGTTAAGAAATTCGGGAGTCTCTCAAACTGCCTTATTCCTTCTCCCCAAGTTACTTTTTTCCGTAATTTTTCAAGTCACTCGTTTGTCCTTATAAGACTGACGTAAGCTCCCATCCGACATTCCAAATAATAAACTTCCTTCTCTAGGCATGCTGGAGTGTAAATTCTTACATTCAGGCTGCCAGTGTTCAAAAATTTGACTACTGGAATGTGAAATATCATACGCTCTCTTACACATGTCTCATATCTCAGAATTACAAAAGGATTATCGGACCCTATCACTTCACAGAGCCTGCCTCTCACAGAAGTTATCCTTGCTGCTGAGAGTATCCTTCTTGAACCCTCTCTACCTTCCATACAAAATCTACCATGGCTGACCAATTGTCCCTCGAAAGCGTAAGCACTTCAACAGGGGGAGACAGTATACGGTCAAAAGTTTAGGATAAGTACTCCAAGAGAAACTCTCTCCTTCTTGTTCAAGCCTTACCCTTTCATCGTGTACAATGTCTACTGCTCGTTCCCGGCATCGACTACGTCTACACCCTTCAAGTCTCTGTTTTGGTACATAGATTCCAATATCAAATTCATCGAGATCAATAAAGTAGCAGGTAAGGACATAAACACTGTCGTGTTCCAAATCCAGACTCTTTAGTGCTTCATATCTCACAATTTCATAGAAAATCACAGCTCTCCTTGCTATAGTGTTAAGAGATTTTAGTAGCTTCTCTGATTCTTCCTTACTCAACCTCCCATCCCCTCTTCCCAGTCTGAACCAGAGCCTCGCTTTTGGAGGTACGTACGGTTGACTCATTAGTGCTTTTAATCTTTCTCTCTCACTCTCAGTGGAAGCTTGATCACAACAGACCAATTGTTCCTTGACAAAACGATCTCAGGTACAAGACGAGTTGGGAATCTCTCAAAGACAGCAAACTGAGTGGATCCAGTGAAACACTTATTCTCCCTCTCAAGTCGCTCTTTCTCTTTTAACACAATTTCCTTAACAAATCTTCAACATCTCCCACACACTGCCTCATCTTTTTTTTCCTTGGGAACATGGATCCTCACATCATATGTATCCGGCTCGATGAAGTAGAATGTCAAAACATAGAATCGTTCCTGTTTCCATCCACTCTCGACCATTTCATATTTTACAACTTCATATGAAAACACTTCTCTCTTACTTACAACATTCAATGATTTCAGAAGGCACTCAACTTTCTCTTTACTTGGACTCGTACCTCTGCCAAATTTTGATGTGCGCTGTTCGATTCTTTCTGTTGAAATTTCTTTCGTTCTCATGACAGCCCGCTCATTTTTCCCACTTCAATACCATGTTAATAATTGACAGTCAATTACTTTCGTTACAGTAGTTGTGAGGGATAGGAGGAATTGGAATTGTCTCATAGGTTTCTGGCATTAATCCCCATTCCATTTTCTTCTTTCGCTTGATTAGATCTGCCTTTTCATCGTAGATAGACTGAACTGCAATTTCTCATAACCAACTAAAGGCCTCACCATCGTTGCAGCCTCCCTTCTTGACATAAGGACGGATATCATAGATATCTCCCTCCAAGAAACGAGCTAGCACTACACAAATGGTCGAATTGCCAGAGTGATAAACCCAATTGTTACAGACTTCGCTAGGGCTCGATCCCTGGTCTATCTTTTGTTGTTTCGGATGCATCCCGTTTTCGACCTTGCACCCTTTTTCCAAACCCCTCCTTTGGTACCGTAGGATTTTGGACAACTGGCGCCATGCTGCAATTCGGGTGCCACTTTCAAATACTGCATTTTTCAGTTCTGCCCTCGGGGCCTTTGCAGAAATGCCCCTGGTACCGTACGTGACACCGGTACTTATACCGGCTCCCTGTACGGGACCAGGGGCATTTCCTTTGAAAAGTTTTTGCCAAATATTTTAAAAATTTCCTCTTCCTAATTCTTTTCAGAATTTTATTTATTTATTTATTCATTTTTTTCCCGTAATTCGAAAATATTTTCTTTCGAAATTTCACGTTCTCTTGTAAATAAATTTAAATCTATATCAGAATTTATTTTTTCGAAATTAATTAACTCTTTCTGTTCAGCGTTTATTTTGGAAAAAAAAAAAAAAAAAAAACTTGGGGATTATCTTTATTTTTGAATTTATTAATAAATAAAAAAGGGGATTCCCCCCCATCCTCCACATGCCACCACGCCAAACCAAAAACTCCCAACGTGCTGCCGCCGTCGCCACCGCTGCTGCTGCATCTTCCACCCCCGTTCAGGCCACGTCCTCCACCCCCTCTTCCCCCGACATAGCCGCATCCTCCATCAACATGTCTGACATCCGCACCGACTCAGTCGATAGCATCGCCCGCAACCTCGCCGGCGAACAACCACCAGCAAACACCGCCACCCCCGACCTCTCTGCCATCCTCCACGCACTCAACACCTTCCAAACCTCCGTCACCGCCTCTCTCGACGACATAAAGGCCAACGTGTCATCTTTATGCGACCGCGTCACCACGCTCGAAGGGACCACCCCCCCATCACGGTCGTCACCACCGCGCAAACCACTCCAACCCCCATAGTGCAAGCTACTCCAACGTCCATAGTGCAAACCACTCCAACCTCCACAGCCGCCTCTAGCAACACCCCCCGCCGACCTCCTCCACTCCTACCACCTCTACCGCCATATCCACCAACCCTTCAATCCCCACCATCGTTCCGTTCCCTCCACCTCCTCCCTCATCCGGCGCATCCAGCACACCGCCTCATTCCTCGCCCATCAAAGTCACCCCTCTTCCCCCCCTGCACTCCCAAACCCGCTCCCAACCCATCATGACCACCTCCACCATCCCCACCATCCGTCCCACCTATTCCCAAGTCACCTCCGGGGCTTTCCCCGCAATGCCACAACTTCCCCCCAACTACCCCCTTTTTGGACAACAACCAAATCGACCACACCTGCTACGACACCACCCCATATAACCTCAGCTTCAACACCCTCGCGCAGATAATGTCCTTCTCCGGCCTCCCCCACGAGGACGTTTTCCTCTTCCTAACCCAACTTCAGAACTCTTTTCAGCTCCACCACATGCCCCTTGCCCACTGGCTCCCCATTGCCACCTCCCGCCTCCTCGGCAATGCAGCCAAATGGTGGAT